TTAGTTCCTCCTCTCCAACTCCTTTTTTTTCCTGTTTTTTTTTTATTTTCTATTTTTTCATTTTTTAATGTATTTTTGTGTCTCTGTATTGCTTAACCATAATATATTTTTGTATCTCTCATTGCTTAAGCACAATGTATTTTTATAACTCTTTACTGCTTGCTAGAGTTCACCACAGAAAAAGAACTATAAATATGATAAAGTTACAAATTGATCAAACTCAATCAACTCGTGTAAATATTCAAACTAAAATCTTGAGTTACCCAATAACTTAATAGTTGAAATCAACTTAAAAATTTAATATAATCAGTTTACTTTGATTTTAAATTTTACTCACCAAACCACCATTGTCCACCTCTCACGGTATGTGTATTTTAATTCATTTTATTAAAAATTTATCTATTTTATTGTTAAACACCATCAGCATAAAATATATATCTTCTATAATTTTTAATTATTTGATAATATTAAAAAATAGTCTCTCAAATCCTTTTTTTTTTTTGACAGAGTCCCTCACTCCTTGTAATTGTTGCAAATTAACATCAATATGGATTTTACTAGACATAAGTAAAATATTTTCCACCTATTTTTGAACCTACTAAATGTGCTAACTTTACCAATTTCTCATCTATCCATAAGCTTATTTATCATTCTTCAGTCAAATCTACTTCAAAGTTGTCTTCTTTTGGGTGTTTGAAAAGTACCCATTTAATTTTTTTGTGAGAAAGTGAACGGTTGTGGCTAAAAATGTGGAAGGAGAGAGAAGATAATAAGGGAAGAAGATGAACCATTACAATGAAAATTTTTGCAAATATGAGAATGTATGGAGATTTCAAGCTTCTATTTTTTTATTTTTTAACTTTTAAGATATTTTTCTTGCTTTTGCACTTAGTTCCTCCTCTCCAACTCCGCTTTTTTCCTTTTTTTTTAATTTTCTATTTTTCATTTTTTAATGTATTTTTGTGTCTCTGTATTGCTTTAAGCACAATATATTTTTGTGTCTCTCATTACTTAAGCACAATGTATTTTAATAACTCTTCACTGCTTGCTAGAGTTCACCATAGAAAAAGAATTATAAATATGATCAAAAGTTACAAATTGATCAAACTCATTCAAGCAACTCATGTAAATATTCAAACTAAAATCTTAAGTCCCCAATAACTTAATAGTTGAAATCAACTTAAAAATTTAATATAATCGATTTACTTTTATTTTGAATTTTACTCACAAAACCACCAATTTTCCACCTCTCACGGTATATGTATTTAAATTCATTTTATTAAAAATTTATCTATTTTGTTGTTGAACACTATCAGCATAAAATATATATCTTCTATAATTTTTAATTATTTGATAATATTAAAAGAGTAGTCTCTCAAATCCTTTTTTTTTTTACAGAGTTTCTCACTCCTTGTAATTGTTGCAAATTAACATCAATATGAATTTTAGTAGACATAAGTAAAATATTTTCCACCTATTCATAAAATATAAAAATAATATTTTATATAATAGTTTTCCAAAATAAATATTTTTATTTTTTATTTGCCTATTCATCACCTGTTAACATTATGCTTATCATGATGGTAAATGATTGTTTCAATAATGATCAATAAAAATAAAACAATTCTTTTGCAGTAAAAAAATTAGGAATTCGAATTCTCTCCCGTTAATGCAGGAACTGGATATTAAACTTCATTTTCACTTAAGTGAAAATGGATTCGCTTTAGTGAAAATGAGAAAAATGACAAAAATAAATTTATGCAAAATTCGTTTAAACAACTGTTACATATTTTCCTTTTGTTGTAAATTTTTCGGACACTTAGCTCATCTCTTATTTTGTTACAAGGAGAAGATGCAAAATTTTTTAAAGTTAATTTAACTCGCTTAAGCAAATTTTATATTTTTATTTTTATTTTTTCAAGAAAAATAAAAGTAAATGTTCAATTCTTGCATTAACAGGAAAGAATCTAGATAAAAAAAATTAAACAATTTGAACTTAATCATTTGATTCTATTTTACGTAAAAATAACTGTGGAAAGCAGTATGGCCAACAAGTAGAATATTTCATGAGGGAAAAGTAGAAATAATATTGCATCCATGAGAAAAATAATAGGTGCAGACAGAAGAACGATAACATAAGAATATATACTTCACAAAAATTAAAGTTTGAAAGTTGAACCATTGGATGGCTACAAAATTTACAGCCGGAAACGTATTTTTTTAAAAAAAGAAAAACATATTTTAACAAACTATTTATATTTATTTTTTTAAACAAGTGTATAATATAAAAGTATTGATGTATAATTATCATTTTTAATAAACTTAAGGCAAATAGATAGATTAATTTGTCTATAAATAGTGTTAAGCAATAGTTGAAAATCCTCTTAGGGTTTTATTTATTTAAGCTTTGAGAAGGATAAAAGCTTTTTTTTAGAAAAGCATCTTAAAACAATCATGATGATTAGATAAGCTACTATGCGGAGCAAAACATTGAAAAAGCTATTTTCACAATTCTTTAAAGGAAGTTGTTAAACATATATTTTTGAAATTGCAAATTAATATTTTTTTTAGTATTTTTGTTTATTAAATAAGCATTCAAGTCAATTAGCAATTTAAAGTTAATTTTTGTCATTTGTGTTTGCAATAGAAGATTACGTGATTTTTCTCTATTTTTAAATTATTTATTGTACTGTTGTTGGTTAATATAATTGATTTTATTTTCAATACACTAATGTACTTATTTCTTTGTGTTCTTCATTTTTAACTTAAAACTAACGAATTGATATAAAGAACCTTATTCTTGAAGGACCTATGAAAAAAAAAATTATTTTTAAGTGAGTTAATTCCTACTAAATATCACACTTCAACACTATATAACATTAAGTATGGAAGAAGATTTAAGTTTTTCATCATTGGCATCACCAATCTTTAATGGTGAAAATTATTAAGTTTAGACAGTACAAATGAAAATTATTAAGTTTAAGCCTTATTCTTGGTTCAACTCTTGGAAATATAAGAAGCAATCCATTGTTTCCTAATCATCATAAAAAACTGAATATTAAAGTCATAACAACTTGGGAGGTCAAATGACTTGTCTCCTTACTCAAAGATTTAAATATTTCATTAGCTAAACTTATCACTTTATTCTGTGGTAATCAATAAGCACTCCACATTGCATCAAATTCTGTATTTCATGAAAAGATTAAACACATAAAGATAAATTTTTACTATGTAGGTCATCAAATCTAAATTCACTCCACATTGCATCAAATTCTGTATTTCGTGAAAAGACTAAATAAAAAAAGATAAATTTTCACTATGTAAGTGATCAAATGTAAATTAATTTTTTTCATATCATGTCTGGGCTTATTTAGACTTGTCTTTTCAACTTTAAAATGTTGGATATATGCATTTCTTAAAAGAGTGTTAATATATATTTATTATATCATGTTAGTTAGTTAATATTAAGTTAGGAAGTTATTATATATATAACTTTACTTTCCTTTCTTTTTTAGAGTAATGACAAAAATATTTTAATATGTTTTTCTTGCTTTTCAAGTTATCTATCTTATCTTTTGATATACATTAAATAAAAAAATCTAACAAAAAAAAAAGAATGTAAGTATAAAAAATAAATAAATTATAGGATCGAACTCCTTCGTTAAAGAATAATAAAAAAAATTAGTTTTTTCTGAGACCATTTCAACAAAGTCTAACAATTATGAAGAGAAGTTACCGTTTAAAAATAGAATATAAAAAATTTTCACAAAAAAGGAGTTATTTAATTTTAAAAAAATATATTTTTTATTTTAAATTATAAAATTATAGTTTATATTTGTTGTTCCTATTTTAAATAATTTATATAAAAATAATAAATAGAAAAAGTTATATACATTTTTTTGAAAATGTAAAACAAAAAACTAATAACATTTATACGATTAAAATTTTGTTTTGCACCAAACCACTATCTAAAAATATATAACAGAAAAAGCTTTTAGTTCTGATGTAGGAAAAATAATAAAGATCAAGACAAATAGCAATAAAAAACATGTGAACGAAAAAAGATATCTTTCAGGTAAATGGTAGTATTGGATAAGCCCGGCCAGCCTAAAATTTATTTATTTCTTATATATTTTATTACTTATCTTTTCATCTAATAATATTAACGATAACTTCTTAACTGCTTCCTTATTTTTATCTGAATTTTAAATGTTTCATACATTTATCATAAACAAAGTAATAAGTTATATTAATAAATAATATTAATATAAACTTAAATATAATTTAAATTAGGATGCTGATGCTAGATTGTTTATTAATTTGAAATAAAAATGAAAAGAAAAATACTGTTTATTAAGGATTGAAGCAACAGTTGCTAGATTGTACTCGTCCCGTTGCAACTTGCAAACCTTTTGCCCCCTCCGGGCCCTGTTCTCTTTCCTATGCTATTAACACGCCCTTGAAAAAGATACAACAGCACGCTACAAAAATTTGAAATTATTGTTAAACTTTATAATAAATTAAAACATTTAATATTGCCCTTCCACCAATTTCATAATGCAAAGTCTACACAATGAGCAAGGAACAAACATTAGGTCAGAAACTGCTGCCCATATTTACAATTAAGTATCACCAATGTAATTCCTTATTTCTTATATGATATAAGTATAGCCATGGCTGCATTATATTTAATGGGAATCTAATAATCTAATCATAGACATAGTTAAGTAAACAGAAAAAATAAAATACTAATCGCGTCATTACTAATGAAATCAGAGTTTAGTCACAAAGCAGCATTAAGCAAGTAAGTAAACATACTCAGAACAAGAGAGTTCAAACAAGAAAAATTAAACGAAAAAACAAGTAAAAAAAGGTCGCAAGTTGTACTTCTAATTTCACAGATGATAATTATACCCTGCAAATATGAACCCTAAACTTGAACCATCAACACACCATCCCTTACACCCAAAAAAAAAAAAAAAGTAACAGTAATTCGTAATTCATTTCAGACCATTTCCAGGTGTTGAAATGGCAAGCCCAGGCCAAGAGAAGCAATCTCCACCAACGAATCCACCCTCACCACCTTCCAACTGCCACGTGTTCCCAACGCCAGAAGCAGCAACGGCGCCGCCAATGTTATTGCCCTCCACCATTCCAGGGAAACCCCAACCCGATCTCCCTATTCCAAAGCCCATGTCTTCAAACCCATGTCCAAGCCCAAGCCCAAATCCACCCAGGGCCAGAAATCCAGAACCTTGGGTGTTGTTCAGCAACGAAGTGAAGCTCCCACAAACGTTCACATTCTGTTTGACGTCACCGTCAACTCCACCCCCGAACCCTTGCGTTACCGCCATGGGGGCCATTGCCGGCAAGGGGTGCTCCTGCGCCGACGTCACGGCGGAGGAGGATGACGAGGCGGCGACGTGGTGGGTGCGGGAGCGCTTTGCGTTCTTCCGGCTACCACCGCCGACGGGGATGTCGCGGAGGGTGCCGCCGTGAGTCCAGTACCGGCGGCAGGACTTGCAGAAATGGCGGGGCTGGGAGTAGTTGTAGTTGTTGTAGTAGCAGAACTTGGTGTTGGTGGAGTCGCAGCGCGGGCACGGGAGGTTCTCTTGCTCTGGCGGAGGCGGAGCTCCGGCCGAGTTCTGAGGCTTGGACGCTCGGCGGCTCTCGCCGGAATTAGACGACGGCATAGGGTGGTCGTGAAATGCGTAGAGAGAGTGAAAAAGTGAAAGCTGGTTGGTGGGTTTGTAATATAGGAAATGAATGTGTGTTGTGGAGTGGAAGGAGCGAAGAGAGTGAGTGTGGTGTGTGTGAAGGGGCGTTGGTGTGAATGTTGTGTGGGGTGGGTGAAATGGAATTGAGGGGGTTTTATGGGAAACAAGAGAGAGAGGGAATGGGACGAGAAAGCAAAGAGAGTCAGAGAGAATATCTGTGGTGGAAACAGAGACATCTTCTGAGGCTTATATGAGGCAGAGTGGGATCAGCTTTACAGTGTTCTGTTAAGCACGACATTTCAGTCGGCTCCATAAGAGCCTCTCTCTCTATTTGGGTCGGCTAATAGGGCTGCGGCTTCTGCACACCACCAACCCGCACAATTACAAATACCACTCTTTCCTTGTTACAATTATTTTCATTTTTCTTTTTAATAATGAATTAATCTCGTTTTTTTGGCTAATTTGAGACATGGAAATATAATAGGGTGCGTAAATAAAGTAGTGGAAGCATTATCCCATCCGGTATTATAGTGCTTGCACGGCGAGTTAGATGCATGCATTATGCCTTCGAAAGTAATTATGAAATGCAAAACTACTCAACAATTAAAAATTAATAAATATAGATTGGGTTAACGATTAGCCCTTCTTCCAACTGATCAAGCTAATCATGGCCATGTTTTAATATTATATGCTTATATTCGTTTCTTATGTCTTTTCCATATTCAATCTCCTTGACGTAGAGCTCGTAGGCAGTAGGGTGTTTAGCCACGGGCTATCCAATCCATGTCTACGTCCATGCATCGAAGTTCGATTTTTGAAGTTATTATTCACAACTATGGATAATGTCACATTCTAATCTTTTTAACTTGCAATTTTTTCCTCTAATTAAGCAAACATAATTCAACTCATTTCTAGAAAATCTGACATTAGGCACATGGAAAAATCTGCAGCCAATGACAAGAAATTGTATAATTTTAATTGGTAGGATATAATAGATATGTCGTTGTTATTAGTTGCTGTGTTAGCGAGAATTCCAAACCTAACTTTGATTATGCCAAAAATAAAAACAAGGGTATGGGGATGGGGAATAGATTGAGTGGGGGCCATGGGGGCAATAGGCGACATGATATTTCAAAAACGTGGAACCTTGGAAGAACGCTTTTGGTTTGGTTTGGTTAGAGAAAGCCAAAATTTGAAGGAGGTGAAGCGGGTGAAATTGTAATTGCACATGATGGATATAGGAATAGCATGAGAATGAGATAGAGAGAGTGGGTGGGGACAGAAGCGACAGAATAATGAGTGTCGGGCAGCGTGGGGAGCAATAATTGGGTCTCCCCTCTGATTTCGGACGCGTCATGTCCGCATCAGATTCCTCCTCCGTACCCATTCTCTCTATCTTCCACCGGATTTTGCGCTTCACTGTAGCCATTAGCAAACAGTGTGGTTCCCCTAACTGCACAGGCACCACTGTTCTGGCCGTTTGATAGTGATCAGACGGTGATGTTCCTGTCCGGTGGGGTAGGACGGGGAGAGACACCTGTCAGCGACACACCGGTGGTTGTCGGTGGTGCGAGTAGGCACGCGCCATCAAAATTGGTCTCCGGCAGAGAAAGAAAGAATCATGGGTCACTGTCAATGAGGAACCAAAACTTGGAAACTTGAGACCTTTGTTTTCGACACAATCGCTATCATCGTTTCTCTCTTCTCCTCCCTTCTCTGCTCCCTCTGTTCTCTCCTCTCCCACTCCTTATCCGTAATAATCACTGACATTTGCATCCCCGCCTTGGGGTCTCCTTAGTCATCGCTTCAGACCAGGAATCACCTCTTTTTGGCCTTTTCTGCTACCACATGATTCCTACCACTCCATCTAAATGAATTGCATCTTTGCACGCTTCTCATCTTCTCGTGCCATATGATTACTACTACAAAGGCAATTATTAACCATCATTTACATCCAAAACATATCTCTCCCTTTACCAATTTAATGCCAATATGTCTGAATGCAGGTGTTTCTAAAGTTTCCACTTTGGACCCTCAACAATATTGTTACCCATAATTAAATTTTAGTGTGTGCTATAGTATCTAAATTTTTTTTATGAGTACTCAAAAAATTTAGATTAATAAAAAAAAATATAATAAATTAAAAAATATTATTCTATATAATTTATTTTAAATTATATTATTTATATTATTTGCTATATAATTATATATATATATATTATATTTTTTATTTTATTTTTTATAATTTTTTAATTTCAAATAAAATATAATTTATATTTAAGTAATTTCTATTTATTATAATATAATATACTATATAATAATTAAATCATTAAATATTAATAATAATAAAATTAAAAATATATCAACATAATGTTATTATTTATTTTTAAATTTTATTTTGTTTAATTTTAATTGTATTATAACTACACTTAAATTTATTCAAATATAATAATTTTTATTAAATAAATTTATTATTTAAACACATATCTAAATAATTTCATGACCTGAAAATTTGTTAGGATGCCACAAAATTTACTTTAAATTTTTTATTTAATTAAATTAACTATCACAAAAGTAACCGCGGCTTATTTAATGACTATTTATTGTATAATAACTTCCGTATCTAATTGAATATCCATCTTAATTGTATCTAATAATTTTTATTTAAAATTAAAATAGATAGCAGAAGAAGTTTGTTACTATTTGTCGATTTCTATACCAAATTAAGCTGTCAGATTATTTAATGTGTTCTGAACTTTTATTCTACACAAAAATACCTTTGTCCTCCATAATAAATTTTAAGGAATAACATTAGTTCATTTACAAAATTAAAAATAATCTATAAGCATAATCCATTTCAAAATTATTTAATTCTGTCAAATATTATATGTATTAATATTCCAACCAGAACTCGATATATACTCAGGATCAATGAATAAATGATTCATTGAATTGACGTTAATTCGATGATGCCAAATCAATTAAGAGTTCCTCAATCTAAATTACGGAAACATTTTTTTTAATGTATCTTCAGGGGCATACAGTAAACCTTTATATGTATTAAATTTTTAATTAAAAAAGTATATAATATAATATAATATATTGATGACTTTAAATATTATAATTTAACAAAAAATCATTTATTAATTTTCTATTATATATCATTAGACGCATTTAATAAAATTAATCATATGAGCGTTAACTCTTAAAATTAATTTTAAACAACTTAAAATAATATTTTTCTTAAATAAAGTATTTATTATATAAATAATACTGCGTTCACTGTTATCTACTTAAAGACATAAGAGAGAGCGAGTTCGTAACTTGTGTCTCATCTTAATCCCCAATCCCTATTTTGATGAGGTACTGTTTTCTCTTATTTCTGTTCCTCACTTTCTTGCAGGGCCTTGTGGGAACCCAAATTCATATTACACCCTTGTTCCCATCCCCCAATCTATCTCAGCATATTTTCAACTAAAATACTTCCATCCTCAGTGCTTCAAATAGGATAGTCCTTGTGAAGATTTAGCATTAGACTCAAACATAGTTGAAATCAATCTTAATTAGCAATATCAAGTATCTCCAGTACTGCACATACATTATAAATTAAATAAATAATTATTTAAGATAACATACATATTCATACACACTAAGAGAGAGAGAGAGAGAGAGAGAGAGAGTAGTCCAATTACGTTATATTTTCATACAAAAATAATATACGTTATGCATGGAACTAATCTATCTTACAATAGGGTAACTAATATATCCACGATCTTACTAAATTAATGTTTTATTTCGATGAAAGATGAAATAGAAAGAAAAAATAAAAATGTAAAGAAAAATATATGATAGATAGACAGCTCACATAGCTATAATAATTTTTTTTAATAAACTACAAACTCTGTATTTTACTCCTTTCAAGTTTTTTTTATGTATCTATTTATTTTAAATTAATTTTAGGATGGATTTAGCAAAAAGATAAAGTCTAACGTGATTCTAAGTCTTAACTGAAAGGGGACAAAAAAATTATATTAAAATCATTAAAAATAATACTTTTTTTATAACTTATTACAAGAGGTATTTTAGTCATTAGCCGATATAAGTATTTCAACATACATTTTTTACACTCATAATTGTATATTTAGAGCATAAATTTTAACTATAATATTATATTAAAAATAGATAAAACTTTAGTCAACTCTAAAAATTACTCAAATATTAAAAAAATCCAAATTATATTTAAAAAAATAACCATTCTTAATGGATTATGTTGACAGGGTTGTACAAATAACTCTAACCTTAACATTAATTTAAATTGAAAACATTAATTTTCTAATCAGTTTCAAGGATATTTTAATACTCTCAGTTTATTCATTTATTTATTTATTTTAAATATTAACACTGATTCTTGTGATTAATTTTAATATCTAAAGAAAATCAATAATTTTGTATCATATAAATAAATATAAAAATATAATAAACTTTTTATGTTGGAAAGTTGTTCTTGTGTATAATAACAACCCGGTTATTCATTATTTAAATGCATCACAATTCTTTCTGGATTTACAATTATGAAAGCTCCAATGCGCGTAGATAGCAGATCATATATTTTTATGCATTGTAATTGTTATTATTAGAGTTTGCAAGATGTTTCGATAAAGTCAAATAAAATATAAAGTTTAGACTTTAAATTTTAGGTTTAACCTAATTTTGAGTTTTTTTTATTAATTCCTTTGGACTTTTTCTTTAACTTAGTTCAGGTTTGTTTAATTTATTTAAGTATGAATTGATATTCGGACTAGGCCAGAAGTTTTATTTGTGGTCAAATTTAAAAGTACAGTACTTATTTAATCCAAGTTAATGAAGCTCTTAGCTTGAATTGGATTAGATAGACTTTTTTTTATCACCTCTAATTGATATATAGATTATCTGTCTACAATTTTGCATTTAACGAGTTTGTTGATAAAAAAACAAACATAGGAACGTATTGAAAAAGAAGTGGGTTTTAGTTT